AACAGCGCCGGCAGAGCTTAGTTCAGCCTCCTCCGCAGAAAGGGCCGCGAAGCAGCGCAGCCTCCCTTAGGAGATGCTCAACGGAAACGAATCCAGTGCTGCAACGGCCCCCAGCTCGAAGCCGTGCGGAGATGGATAGAGGAACGATGTCTTGGTTCCTAAGACCATCGGAAATATGTATTTTCTGATGGTCTTAGGCGACCCCTGTGAAAGGGTCATTCGACCCCCAAAGGGGTCGCGACCCACAGGTTGAGAACCGCTGGGTTAAATGGAAAAGAAAGAATTGAATTGCATGTTCAATGGCAATTTCAAAGCATCCAACAGATGGCACTGTTTTTCAAAAAAAGCATGTTTTTACCTGTCACAGGTGTGACATCTATATAATATAGGTATATAAAAACACGTGCGTATTCGAATGCAACGTTGCGTCAAAATTTCAAAGCAATCGGTGAACTTTCGGAGATTTAAGATTTTGAACAAACAAACATTTACATTTTTATTTATATAGATGGGAATAACTGATTGCGATTTATAAATGACAAAGTGCAGCAAGTAGATACAGTTATATAATTTGGTAGAACACATTTAAGAAATAGAAACATTGACAGAAAAGTGGTGGACAGAAAAGTTCATATCTGCTTTGAGAAATGACTATTTGTCAAAATAAATGAAAATGGCAATATATACAAATTTGCTTTTGCCAACTGTAAAGTGAGAATGGGTATGTCAGTTGTGATTGGATGAAATTGATGAGATCATTAAAAAGGAAAGTGAGAATTTTAAAGAAAAAAGAATGTATGAATGAATGAATGAATGAATGAATGAATGAATTAGAGAAGATCTGTTTACATGGTTGCTAAGAGTTGACACCGGTGGCACAAAATCAGTCAATCAATTAGTGAAGGTATATAGAAGCAAGAAAGGTTCTAAGAAATTTATTAGTATATTAAAAAGAATCAGGTTTTCCTTCTTTATGATGTTGTTTAAAGTGTTGGTTAGAAGATCAAATGTGTCTTATAGATTGCTACTGGTCCATGCTGGACAGAGGGACTTTGCATGGGCCTAAAGCAATTGACTACAGATTTCAAGTGCTGTCAGTGCCTTGCACTCATATCTTTCGTTGCTTTTGATGTCCTTCTTGACACCAGGTGGAGTTTGTGGAGTTTGCAGCTGATATTATTTCTTTGTGTCCTAGGAGGGGAGTATCTGCCGCTACTAGGGTTGAACTCTCAACCTTTCTTCACCATTAGGCCATTACGGCCACTGAGTAGTGAGAATACTATTTGTGCTAAATGCTGCTCCACCACACTTGATGTTTGACCAGATGCAAAAACAGCAAACACTTCTTTTGAGACATAACAATATGGTTTCAGCTTTCCCACGTCTCAGCATTTTTTTTGGGAAACTGTTTGGATATTTATCCTAATATTATTAGTACTCCTATGAGAGTGGTCTCTATCTTATATTCCCCGTAACAAACATGCTGAGGTCAATTTCTCTTGCTGTTTGAAAGTGTGAGAATATTTGTTGAACTATTCCCAAAACAGTAACAGGGATCAACTTTTCATTACATCATGTTCTTGCTTTTTTATCATGTAAAAATAAAGTGTATTATCATTCTAATAAATCCCCTCCTTCCTTCAAGGTTTGACAGATATCTGTCCAAGAATGGTTATAGAAACAGTTGTGTTCTAGGAAGAACTTAGGCTAAAAAAATAGACTGTGGTAACAAAAGAGCTGCTGGAAAATGTGATTAGCTGTCATCCAGGAAAGAAGTTGCTGTTTTTCTGCTGCTATAAGCTATTTGTGGGGAACCAGATCATTGTTTGTTACTGCTAATGATGGTGGAAAGCCAGCAGCCTACAGTTGACCTGTGAACACAGGGAAGGAATTAAAATGAAGGTTGTAGTATAACGAGGCTCTGCCTGGGGGCATTTGGGTAAGTAGTTTTTGGCTAAGCATTCTGTGCCCTCTAGGCCTAAACGTGTTACCCATGGGCCATGGCTGAAATTCAGATCCCATGCTCCCAAGATATAAGAACCATTTCCCTCCCTTTTTTTTGCATGTGATGGGGTGTTTTTGCCAATTTTGCCAACTTGGTTTAGAACAGAAATGGTGCTTCTGTAGAAGCTTGGAATGAGATCAAGCAGCATTTATTTATCCTGCATGACTTGTGGAGTAGCTGCAAAGGGACAGCTGTTTCTACTGGGGCACAGCCAAGATACCAGTAACGTTTAGTCTGCTGTAAGCAGTGCTTTTTTTGCCATAGAACGCACAGAACGGCGTTCCGGCACCTTTTTTTTAACGGAAGAACTGGTTCCTTCTAAGCTGCCAGCACAAGTATAGGTAATCCCTGAGTTACGAGCATTCACTTAACGCTCTGATGCTTCCCCCTCCCTTCCTGCTGCGCGAGACTCATCTGGAAAAGGTCTGTCTCCTCTCTGCCGCGGTCCCTGCTGCCGTTCCGATCTGAGGCCAGGGGATGCGTTCACAGCCCCCAGCGGCCCAATCCAGGCTTCGGAGGCCTTTTCCAAGCCTCTGGAGCCCACATCCATGGCCGTGGAACAATTTTGCAGCCCCCCCAGCGACCCAATCTGGGCTCCAGAGGCTTGGAAAAGGCCTCCGGAGCCTGGATCAGGCTGCTGGGGGACCACAAAATCATTCCGTGGCCATCTGAGCTCCAGAGGTCTTTTCCAGGCCTCCGGAGCCTGGATCGGGCCGCGGGAGGGGCATAAAATCACTCCGCAGCCATGGATCCAGGCAGCAGAGGTCTTTTCCAGGCCTCCGGAGCCCAGATCGGGCCACGGAGGGTTGTGTACGCGTCCCCTGGCTTCAGATCAGAGTGGCAGCAGGAACCGCGGCAGAGATGAGACAGACCTTTTCCAGGTGAGTCCCACACGGCAGGAAGGGAGAGGGAAGCATGAGGTATCTTAGTCGGTCAGGGAGGCCTTGGGGGCCTGTTCCATCAATAGGCCCTCCATGGCCTTTCCCACCCTGAGATATCTCATGTTTACTTAACGAGCAGCGTGCGTTTTAACGAGGAAAAGAATGATCTCACTAAAGGAACGAGATTCACTCTACGAGTTTTTGAGTTACGATTGGAATGGGCAGGCTCCATTACACTTGTAACTCGAGACTACCTGTAAAGCTCTGGCTCGGTGAAAGGAAGCTGCCCAGAGAAATCGGCGGCATCAAAGGTCGACCCAGAAACACTTCCACGGCCCTGAAAGCAGACCCTCTTCTCTGCCTTGGTTCATGGGGCTCCCCCCGCTGCCGCCGCCTGTCCTCACCCCATGTTGGCCACCAGGGACCAGGACTGACTCTTGGAGTGAATCTCTTTGAGGGACCAGGCGCGCTCCCAAAGCAGCAGCGCCGCCACCGCCTTGGTCACTCTGGCTCCGGAGGAAGCCTCTGTGTCATCAAAGGTGGCGGAGGACGAGGTGGCAGAAGACATGCCAGCTCCGAACAAGCGCCCTCTCAAAAGCCACGGCAATGGCGTCCGTCAGCTGATGCTGCTCACGTGATCTGCACCTCAGAAGCTCCCTAAAGCGGTTTCTTCTCCCCCCCCTCATTCCATAAAGGGTTTTCGACTGGGGCCGGAGCTGTGTGTGAGTTCCGCCACCTTTTTTTTTTTTTTTTTTTTTTTTTACAAAAAAAGCACTGGCTGTAAGTTTGAAGAAATATTTCCATTTAATCTTGGGAAATTGGGAATATGAAATGGCAAGCGAGAATTCCACCTTACTGTCAGATTTAAAATTCAGTTTTCAGGATGTCAGTTAATGAAATGGACATCCATTCCTAGGATTTTATTTTATTTTATTTTGCTATTCCAGAAGGAAGAGAAACTTGTCTGCTATTTTTGAGTGTTCAGTAGTGAGATGTCAATTCTGCCATTTGATTGGCTGAACAGGTGGAAGGCTTTATGACACACCCAGGAATTTGCTATCACTTTCCTAGACTAGTCTTACTCAAACTACATGGTGGTTGGAGGTAGGGTAAGAACCTCTGTATAGGTGAATAAATAGGTTTTCTTGAGCCAATCTCGAGAGGGATAAGTGGGCGGAGGGTGATCTTTCACCTGTAATAATATCCCTCTGTGTTTTTCTAGCCACTAAATATTAACTGCTATTACTACTTCACTCTGCAGGACAGCCTAAACATGCCTTATATTTGATCTCAAAGAACAACTGTGGACTCTTCAGCCTCATTGTATTCATACCCTGTGACCAGCAGACCAGCATAGTACACACTAGTGCCTTCTGGTGGCACAATTAATGTGTGCAAACAAAAACTGGGCAATGCTGGCCCAGGGTGTGTGACTCCGTGGGATGCATCTGCAGTTGTTTGCAAATCTACAGAAGCAGCTTCCTTTATGAAAAGCAGAGGAGTAGAAGCCTTCTCATGTTCAATGGTCAAGTGTAAGTCTGATGAACAGAACTTGCACTAAATCAGAGGTGTTAGTGGTGATTACTAACAGTCTTTGAAGAAACACGTTCTCTTTTAGTGGTTATGTGTTCTGATTTCCATATGGTATGTTCTAGGATCCACTGCTGTTTTATTTTATCTGGTTTTACATGTAGTAAAAAAAAAAACTGGCCTGTCTCTACAGCACTTAAAATGATGCTTCTGAATCTTCATGTGATCCTTTTCACACTAATCTCCATCTGATTATCTCTTTCTCTGGTTGATTGTTAAACGTTACCGGTATAGCCAGGAAATAAGGCTATGAAATGACCTGCAAGTAAATTCTTCTAACTTTCCCTTAGGATCAATATATCAGTGACTTAATATGGATGGGAAGACTTCTAGCCGCTTATTTTTCCTTGCCATACTTCTTTGTTTGCTTATGTAAGCAGCTCAGAGACTAGTGCCGAGACACATTTCAAATTAATGTATTTAAGGGACTAGATGCTTGTCTTTGTGGCAAAGCTTAGGGTTTTGGTTTTTGCTCCCTGGTAATTTGTGATGAATTAACTCTTGCTTTCTCTTCTTTTTACAGTTGGGGCATGGCCGTCAATGTGTATTCCACGTCTGTGACTAGTGAGAACTTGAGTCGTCATGACATGCTAGCATGGGTCAATGACTCTCTGCAGCTCAACTACACCAAGATTGAGCAGCTTTGCTCAGGTACTGTGACAGTAAAGAAACTCTCTAGAAAAACATTTTATTGGAAAACTCTTTCACTGGAACCAAGTTCATAATAGTTTAAATGTTCCCTGGTAGGGAAGAGCAGGATTTATTTATTTATTGAGCTTATAGCCTGTTGTAATACCTGTTGTATATTTTTGCAGATCTGGGGTGCCAAAAAATCTGGGTGACCTCCAAATGGCAGCAAAGAAGTAACTAAAATGCTGGAGGGGGGGGGGTTGCCCCCTTCTAGTGTTAGCCTGGAGTTTTGCAGTGAGACCTATTAGCCTTAAGTATAAAAATACTTGGGATGGTATCTGCTGTCCAATATTTAGGGGAAAAAATAACGTAAGGTCCTAAAATTATACTACTACTTAAAATAAACATGATGTATACTGTATGCATTTAGCAATCTGCCTGTAAAGTTCAGTGAAAAGAGTAACTCAGCTTTTGGATTGCACAACTTGAAAGTCCAGTTGCAGAACAAAATATTTAATATATATGCACAATGCATATGCATTTGGAAACCTTCCTCAGAATGAAAGCTCACACCAGAGAATATATAAATACACATTATATGACATACAACAAACATCCACTAACAAGAAAATTTAAAAATAGCTACAAACTTACATATCAGGCAGGTTACATCTTTTTTTTAAAAATCAAATTTGTTGTTAGCTCAGGAGCCCCATTAGGTGGACTCAGGCCACCATTTTTTCTTGAGGGAAGAAAGTAATATAGGCACCTGCCATTACTAAGTTAGAAAAGTCCAGCACAAATATTCAGGTTGATACTTCATACTGAATCCTGTTCCTAGATTAACAAAATACTATTGCTATGTAACATGCTATAACCAGACAAACCATAATATGGCTTAATTGGATAATTTTATTTATACAAGATATTAAGAATGGATGCAGTCACATAACACATTGAAATGCAAACTACACAAATCCATTTTAGCTTAGTTTAGCATGTTGTATAAATCTAGCCAGCATGTTAGTATATGCATGAAGCAAAGAACAACGCACTTCACATAACTACACTCTCAAATCTAATGGATGTAAGTCAATTCTCCCCCAATAAAACATGTAGACTTTGATTGGGGTGATAGCAATGTTTTGTTGAGAGAGAGAGAGCGGGGAGAGAGAGACAGAGAGAGAAATTGTATTTAAGGGGATTAAAAGTTGAACTACCATTCCCTGTTTCTCCTTTCACTTAATCCCAATACTACATAACTACAAATGCACAGTATTATTAAATTCAGGCAATACTTGAAATCTGTGTGTCTGTCATCTCCAAAGTGCATTTCTCTCCATGAAGATGCAGTTCAAAATTATTCTTTCCATCTCTCAGCATGAGTTTAGCTAACTCTTTTTGGTCTGTATTACCTCCTCAATTAACTCCAGCCCATAGGAAAGGTGGTAGAATCTTTACCTGTCACTGGATAATGCACTCATTTTTTCTCCATAGTTTAAAGCTATTCATTTCGTAAGATTTTTTTAAAAAAATGTGAGACATAACTGCCCATTTTATTCTGAGCCTGGATATGCTAAACACAAAATAGTCTTTCTGAGCTCATACTGCTTGGAACATTTTCTGTATCTGTATTTTCTGGGATTTTTGCTGGCCGGGCAATTCTCTGGCCCCCAAGAAATTGACTAGGGCTCAAAAAGCCTGAGTTGTGCTTGTTAGAATTAAGAGGAAGGGAGTTGAAAATCTAATGAGAGGGGATTTCCAAATTGTTGTAGATGAAAGGGTTCTGATCTAGTTGTAAAAGGCAGCAGGTGTGGGTAGAAACTAGTTTGTGTGTGTCTTTCTGTCCTTGACAGGGGCTGCCTATTGCCAGTTCATGGACATGCTATTTCCTGGCTGCATTCACTTGAGGAAGGTGAAGTTTCAGGCCAAATTGGAGCATGAATATATACACAACTTCAAGGTGTTACAGGCTGCATTCAAGAAGATGGGTGTGGACAAGGTGGGTTTCTGCTAGACAGCAGGCAGATAAGAGTTTTCTTTTTGTATCAGTGTGTGGTTGAGGCTTCCCGATAGGCTAAAACAGACCTGCCTTTGCATAGTTAGATAGACTAAACCACTAGAGTGGATGGCTTCTGTAGTTGCTTTTCTTTCTCTTGCTTCAATTTTTGGCTGGGCTGGCTTGTGCAGTTACTAATGTACTGTATCTTTTTGTAGTTCCATGTAGAAATAGATAGAGTTGTCCCCCATAGTTTTCTAGAAGTCAGTCTTCCAAAGTAGGAATTGCCAGTTTGGTGCATTCCAGGGAAAATGAATGTTCTGTCTCCAGAATGGCAACTTGTATACATTCCTGGAGTCAGAGTAGAATCTCAAGTGCTGTGGGCCAGCTTGTTGCTTGAGAGCACATGGTATATAAATGTACAAAATAAATAGGCATCTTGGCCTTGTTTCTCAAAATACTTGCTCAAGGAAATAAATGACTGCACTATTAGTATTGCTAGACATTTTCTTTAAGCTTCAACTGATCCAGAATGTAGTGATGTGAGAAGTGATGGGCATGCCTTGGTATGCCCACATGACATCTCTGCTTTGTGAGCTGTACTGGTTGCCAATTTGTTTCTGAGTGTGATTCAAGATACTGGTTGTTAAATACAGTATGAGGCCCTATAAGGCATAAGGCCTGGTTACTTGAGGGACTGCCTATCTGCCATAGTATCTACCTAGCCAATTCAATCTTGCAAGGTTGGCGTGCTCTGGCTTTCTTCAGTTAAACCCCAGAACCAGACCTTTTTTGTGGCAGTGCCTGCCTTCTGGATGATCCTCACTTTGCTTTTGTTGAGAAGAGCCATGAACATTTGGCACTCCATCAAGGTTTTTGATGAGGAACTCTTTGTTTTATTCCCCTGGTCTGTTGCATTTGCCATCTTTTCTTTTATTAGGCTGGCAGTTTCCCATACATGCTCACCCATACACATTCTACCAACTTCAAATTGTGATTTACAAACATTGATATAAAACAAAAAGATGCTATCCTACTAAAAATCTCTTTAAACTAGCTTTCTCTAGTCTTTATGCAGTAATTTATTACATTTGAACTCCATTTTGCATTAACCTTTTTTAATCTCATGTGCTTCTGGATTTATCTCCCATCTTTTCTCAGATTGTTGCTCTCAAAACAGTAGTAAAATTACTTTACTCCAGGGGTGTCAAACTCGCAACGTCGCATGACTTGTCGTGATTTTTTTCCCATTGCCGGCAATGGGGTGGGCGGGGTTTTGCTATGATGCATCCGGCCTATGGGCCGGCAGTTTGATACCCCTGCTCTACTCTGTTTGTAGAAGGAGGCTTTTACTGATTCTAAGAAACTTGCAGCTTGTACTGATAGGTATAATCTCTGTCATCTTTGCTTGGAAGAAAAATGCCTTCTGGAATTGGGAAAGCATCATCAGTACTTTCTATAGTCCACATGCCAGAATTTAGGGGATGATTTGAAAACATGCTTTATTAGCGGCAGATGTAGAGGCCAAATCTCTTTTTGTTCTTGGCCCTTATGATGTTCATTCCACCTCTACAGCTGTGAGATTGATATGTGCTCTAGTAAATATTTTATATACCCTCCTTCTGTAGCAATTCCTTTCAGTCAAATTAAATGTTGTAGCTCAGATAATGCAGGGCCTTTTTCATCTTTTGGAATATAGACGTCAACAAGGAACTTCCAGAGCTTTAACGCTCTGGAATCAGTTGAATCTGTTGCATTGTTACAATCTCCTTTATGTTTGGCTGGCACAAGAGTTTCTTCTAGGGACACTTATTTTAGTACATTAGCCAGTTATTGTTCCTTATGTGGAACAATATGCTATGCAGGGGCAAAAAAGGAGGTTGCTTGACAGTCACTATAGTTCTAGAAGTGTCATATAAGCATGTTCACAACCTACCACTTCCCTGCTTCAAATATTATTATATCTAACTCTCATCAGAGCTTCTAAATGGAAGAATGGATCTAAAATAAAGACAATGATGGATATTGATTAAAAGCCTTGCTGTAGCTGTAGAAAGTCTTAAGATAAGATGGTGAGCAGGTGTAGACTGCACATGTTGTAATGCAGATTACCACCAAATCTGTCCAATTTTGATTGATATAGTTGCCCAGGATATTAAGTTATCCTTTGCTTATAATTCCCACAAGCTAATTAAGCCTGTTACTCTAGTAGTAAGCAAAATTTTGGTTCAGATGGGTCACTTAGCTAATTAAATGGGCATGAGACTCAGGATCCCAATCTGGCATATTAAGCTTTTAGGAATATCAATACCTTTGTCTGGATCATACCTAAAACCCATGTAATCACATATCTTGTTCCCCATGGTAGCCATTTCCTGGGATGGAGTTAGCCTAGTAGTTGGCCCTGCTTTAATTTTAAGGATTAACAATGTAAGCCGCAGCTAAGGTTCACTGTTTTTGCTAAGTCTTTGAATAAATGTGCAGTTCATGAAAATCAGGTAGCCAGGGCATCTTAATTTCACACCTTTTTCCAGTGATATAGAACCACAGCTATCAGTTCTGGACTGCAAAGATTTCTCTATCACTTAGTGATTATCTAGATTTTGGAACTGCTAGTCCTAATAGAACCATTTAATACAAGTTTGTGAAAGATTGTGTAGAATGTTTGGAAAGGCACCATAAATTAAACAGAGATGCTTAGCAGCTTTTTACAAATTGAAGCTTTTTATTGATTAATTTGTTTGCTAAATATAACAATTTTTTATTCAAATGAAACTCAACTCTGCTTATAGTGTAAAGTATACATATTACAGAATAAATTAAAATAGATAATTAAAACAAATCATATAATTGCTGACTGTTCAGTGATCCCAAGTCTGTAAACTGAGAAATTTGAAGAAAGTATGGTACTAATATTTCAGAGAAACTCTGATTAATCTGTTTGAAAATTATATCCACTCCAGCAATAGGTAAAGAGAACAAGTAACCTATTCTACTGGAGTTTCAGGGTATGCATGGTGTTCCTGTATAACTGGAGACTTTTCAGTTTGTTGCATGGGAGGTCAAGAAACAAGAGTCTTTAAATGTAGGAACTATACACGTACAAAGCCTTCTACTCTTAAGTAGAACAGTTTGTTAGAATAAAAATAATACATGCATACTTTGAATATGCTTTGTATTATGTAAATTCAATTATGACACCCACTCAGATTTATACATTATAATAACTAGCAAATTCCTATTTTAAAGTCACATTAAAATAAATCACATGTATTAGCAGTGTTGAATTTCTTACAAACACAATGACTGTTCTGCCAGTGCTCTGACCCACTGAGCATCTGTTATGTTATACTGAATAAATATTGAAAAGTGAGGAAAATATTAATTTTACAAAGAATGTTACTTTTCATGGACTTTTGCTGTTACAGATCATCCCAGTGGAGAGATTGGTAAAAGGAAAGTTCCAAGATAACTTTGAATTCATTCAATGGTTTAAGAAATTCTTTGATGCCAACTATGATGGAAAGGAGTACAATCCATTATTGGCGAGGCAAGGCCAGGAAGTGGCACCCGCTCCAAACCCAGGTGATCAGATCTTCAACAAACACAAGAAACCCATTGGCACTGCAGGTAATGTTGCTAGAGACAGCTGGGAACCCTGGATCCCGCCTCTAGCATGACCTCAGCTTCCTGGCATCCAGCTTGGCAACTCCTGGGTAGCAGTGGGAGGGAAGAAGAACCAAACCCTTACTGATTTGATTCCATGCTTAGTGGTAAATATCTGGATTTTGGAATGGCAGTAAGTAAAGGTAGAAATGAGCAAGGGTCAAACCAATTGACAAGACACTGCATTCTTGTTCCCATGAAAGTTACATACTCCAGCATACAGATGTGATTTTGGTGGGGACTGGCAGCGTTGCCCTGTGGAACCTTTCATCTCAGCAAATACTGTAACCAGGCAAGCTAATGGAGCGTAGATGCTTTTTTCAAAAGAAAATCGGTGCTAGGACTAGCCAAACTTTGCCTTAATAGGAGAAAGCTATGATCTGATCAAAAGATTCATTCTACTTAGAGTTACTTTTGCTCACTTCTGTTCTACTAATTAAGTAGGGTCCTGGGATCAGTAATATAAATCCAGAGCTCCTGTATCCAAATTCATCTGACCATCAACAGAACCTACATCAAAAATTGTAACACTAGCTATTTGAGGGGGCCTTTCCATTATTGGCCAGTTAGCCATCTTGTTTCTCTCTTCCTAGTAGTCTAGAAGAGGATAATTTGCTCATGAGAGTTTTATTGCATGGATAGGGAACTTGTATTGCAAGGATTGCAGAACTATACAGGTAGTCCTTGACTTACAACAGTTTGTTTAGTGACCATTCAAAGTTACAATAGCATTGAAAAAAGTGACCTATGACCGTTTTTCACACAACCGTTGCAGCATCCCCATGGTCACGTGATCAAAATTCAGATCAGCTTAGAAACTGACTCATAGTTAGGACGGTTGCTGTGTCCCAGGGTCATGTGGTCATTTTTTGCAACCTTTTGACAAGCAAAATCATTGCAGAAGCAAGATTCAATTAACAACCGCAGTGATTCACTTAACAACTGTGGCAAGTAAGGTCATAAAATGGGACAAAACTCACTTAACTGTCTCATTTGGCAACAGAAATTTGTGGTTGTAAGTCAAGGACTGCCTGTAATTCCTAGCATGCCCCATTCTTGGCCATATTGATTGGGGCTCCTGGAAATTTTCGTTCATTAGCATCTGAAAGGCAACAGATTTCCCATTTTTAACCCCCCCTCAAAAAAAAAAGTTTTAAACCTGGCTATCTGCATTCAAGCTCTCGTTGTCTTCAAGATACTTGCTGGTAGAGCTATTTAGGAAGTGTTGTTTTTCTAGATTTTTAATCAGACCATGCTTTCAGCAGAAGTGAGAAAAACTCTCATTCCACATTAGTATTAAAACTCCTGCTGGATTTCAAGAGTGGCTGTTCATCTTGATGTCTTACTTAAGTTAATTCTGATGTATCAGCAAGCAGCTGAAGAAAAATGAAAAGAGTTTTAGAAAGAATTTAGTAGAACAGTGAGGAATAAAGGCAAATATACGTGTCCGAGGATAATGTTGCAGGATTCAATCTGGGTCAGTCACCAGAACCAGAGGTTTAGTCTTCCGAGCTTTCGGACTTGTGCTGGAGACCATCCTTAGGTAACGTCTCTCTACCAGAATGTGTGCTTTGGGTTATTCTATGCATAATATTTATGTGGTGCCTAGTTGCATGTGGCTTTTTAGTTGTTGATTGGGGCGTTGATGGCCGGCTATTAAGTCATTTTAATAGCCAGTCATCAACACTCCCATCAACAACTAAAAAGCCACATGCAATCAGGNGCCGAGGCGTAGCTGGCAAGCGGCAGAGACGGAGCAGGCCGACCACCAGCTGGCCCAGCCCAAGGGAGGTAAGGCACCCGCCGGAAAAGGGGAAAAAAATGGCAGACAAAAAAAATGGCGGACAGCCTTGCTTGGCGACCCCCATGAAATGGTCGATCGACCCCAAATGGGGTCCCGACCCACAGGTTGAGAACCACTGTGGTAGAGAGAAGTTCCCTGAGGATGGGATCCAGCACAAGTCCGAAAGCTCGGAAGATTAAACCTCTTGTCCCGACTCAGTTTGGATCCTAGAACAATGAGGGTTCTAATAGTTAACTTTTCTTCTAACTGAATTTTCTGCTCAAGAGGAAGATGTGTTGTCTGCTTATTTGTGTAAGCCATATAGAGTGAAAGTTCCACAGGAAAGAACTAGAACAGTGTTTCTCCGCCTTGACAACTTTCAGAGGTGTAGACTTCAATTCCCAGAATTTCCCATCCAGCCTGGCTGGCTGGGGAATTTCTAAGAGTTGAAGTCCACAAACGAAAGTTGCCAAGGCTGAGAAACACTGAACTAGAAGCACCAGATAGAATGATAAAGATGCCTACCTTGACTATTTGAGAAGGGAATGGGATCCAAAGGCTACCTCCTGGTTCTGCATGTCTTTCCCCAGCTGGGCTTGCTTGCTTTGCTGTAGAGGGGCAGCAGCACATGCTGGGATGGCTTTGCGACCGGCTGAGGGAAAGCTGCATGTAGCTTTATGCTGCTGCCACCTTTGTTTGAATTGTGTTTATAAGTAGGAAAGTTTAACGCCTGGCTTCTTCAGAGTCTGTCTTTCTCTGGAACTTTGAAGCGCAAGAACTCTGATCTTGACCGTTCCTTTCTGTGTCCAGGAAGTCTCAGCAGACAGCACTGGGACTCTAGCTGTGCATATATGCTTAACCATTATGTCTTAGGCTTTCATTTGGCCTGGCTCAGCAATGGTGGGTGGGTCCCATGATGAAAGGACATAGACTAAACTTTTTTTTTTATTTCATAAAGTTCCACAGAGAACCTCCCCAACAGGCCCCAAGAACATGCCGAATCCAGCTCGAGTGAACATCACTCCCAGCAATATTGTACGGAAAAATCCTCCTTTGGCTCGGAATGGGGGCAGTGAAGCTGATGCCCAGATCCTGGAGCTTAACCAACAGGTGGGGCAAGAAGGTAGTGCAGTGAGAGAGAGAGAACGAGAGAGAGAGAGAGAGAGAGAGAGAGAGAGAGAGAGAGAGAGAGAGAGAGAGAGAGAATAGAATATCTTCCTTTGGCAACCCCAATATTTACAAAGGTCTTTCCTGCATTCATTATTTTATTGTCACAAGCTGGAGGGGATCTGCCTCTTGCTCTGCTATGGTGTTGGGTGTTGTGGAAGTAGATTTGCTTTTTCCTTAGAAGGTATGACAGGAAATTCATCCTGGTTCACTCTCTGAAGAAGGATCTATTACTCTGAAGCAGAATTGAATCCGCCACCTTCTGGAGCAGCATCCCCCTCCCCGGCCGAAATCAAGATGGAATTCTCTTTCTTAGGGTTCTGTAAAGCTTTGGAAATGTGATTTTGATCCCAAGACGGGGGTTGATATTTATGATTTGTTGAAGGCCCTGTGTTGTTTTGTTGATTTTGTTTACCAGATTATTTTATTATGGACTACCTGTCTGATTTTATGTTTTTAACTTTTTCATGTTTTTCTAGTTTTGTACATTACTCAGGGTCCACTGGAATTGGGTGGCCAATTTATTTAAATAAACATATACACGTCTAAAGGACACTCAGTTGATAAAGACTGGACTAGATGGTAGATTGAAGGTCCTCCAATTTATTCTGCACTCTTTTGTTCTCCCAATAGCTCTATGCTGTAGATTAGATGGAGGGAAGTACAAAGATCTGGCAGAAACCACTATTTTGGCATCTTGCTGCCTAACTGGTTTCTAGAAAGACATAAATCACCAATGTTTACTTTGTGTCCATCTGAGCCTTTCCCACTGGCTGCCATTTTATAATTCAAAATTCCAAAACTATCCAGTAGCTTGAAATGGCTGTAACATCTATTGTATAGCCATGATAGATAGTAACTGGCATACAGTAAATTTTGGTTGAGCTCCCACAACATGCCAAATTTGAATTAATGTAATACATTTGCTGTGTTTACATAGCATGCTATATCCAAACAAATCAGTCATATTATGACATATTTTTAGCTCTTTTTATATTTTGTCTAGTTTGGTATGCTGCCCACCTGGGCATCCAATACATTTAATTATAGTAATTATTATGTCCAGGTTCATGTTACAGAAAAAAAATTGATTAGGTTCTCACAACATAATAAAGTGCCCAACCTATTCTAGTCAAACTAGCATTTGTGTCTGACCAGTGATCCAAATCCAGATTCTTCTTGCTCATATGGTAATCAGGACATTTCACCACGTTTCCTCCATGCAAACTTTTATGGCATAGGAGATTATTTTTCCAGGGTAATCCCTAATCTTTTCAGTCAAAAACCAAATGCATCATTCAAGCTATCTTAAATTTTGTTTGACTCCTTTTCTCTGGCTATTCTCTACTATTTTCTTTCATTCTAGATCAGGGGTGTCAAACTGCTGGCCCACGGGCCAGATGCGTCACGACGAAACCGCGCCCACCCCATTGCCGGCAATGGGGAAAAAGTTCCGATACATTGCATGACATCATGTGACGTCGCGAGTTTGATATGTCTGTTCTAGATGAAAGGAATTTTCTATTTCCAAATTAAAATAGGAGTTATTAAAACAGTGTAAGTGCTGTTTTGAAGTCCAGTTGCTTTTAGAATCAGTGAACAAATATGCTTTATTAGTTCACTTTAGTTTACCAGTTGCTTTAGTGAAGGAGTGTTACAGAAACTGAATATCTATACATTTAAAACCTGTAACATTCTTATGAAGTTGGGAGGCTTGATGTTTTATTAAAGAAGGTCCTCTTGTATAACCTAGTACAGTGATGGCGAACCTTTTAGAGACCGAGTGCCCAAAATTCGCCCCCTGCTCTGCCCCTGCCCGCCCCCTGCTCTGCCCACCCACAGGGCCATGCACTGCCTCAATGGCCCGCCGTAGCAGATCACCCAGGCAGCCCTGCAGCGCCATGGCAGCCACGCCCTCCGCCCACACCCCGCAGCATCATCTGCACGCTATGGAGCGTGAGGGCGGAGTCTTGTCCCTGCTGCCCGGCTATGTCCTTGGCTGCGCTGCTCCGTGCAGGCCGCGCCTGGGGGCAACTCTCCTCCAGGGGGGCTGCTGGAGAGGAGGGGGCCGCAGGGAGAGGCGGGGCTGGGACAATGGCACGCATGCCCACAGAGAGGGCTCCGAGTGCCGCCTCTGGCACACGTGCCATAGGTTCGCCACCACTGACCTAGTATTAAACACTATTTCTTTTAAGAACTTCAGGAGAAAATTTGTTGTCTACAAAATGAGTAATGTTTTTCTCTTTCAGAAAACTCCTCTCCCAAGGAACTGCAATTGCTTCCAAAGGCTCTTGCTGCTTCTACACACCACTTAACAAGTACTTTATGCCCAGACATTAGTGCTACAATGGTTGGGTACCTCTCAGTTGCAGAGTATGCTTGCCTGGTGTGCTGGACATGAGTTTATGAGTGACATATATCAGGGCTGTCATTACTATGCTGATTCTCATTCTTCTCTTCAATTTTGTTGGTTGTCTTTATTTTGATAGTTGATGGATTTGAAACTGACAGTGGATGGGCTGGAGAAAGAGCGTGACTTCTACTTTAGCAAACTGCGGGACATTGAGCTGATCTGCCAGGAGCACGAGAGTGAGAACAGCCCCATCATTTCAGGCATCATAAGCATCCTGTATGCTACAGAGGTCAGTGAAGTATGTGAGCAGCTTTGATCACTATTTCCAGGGAGTTAGTTTGGGGCTTGTTTATCAATGTCTGCAGCATGAGCCATGTGCCTTGCATGCATGGATAGAGGGGAACACACTATATATGGCAGTGGACCAGATTATCTGCAGGACCGCCTTCTGCCACATACCTCCCTTCGACCAGTCCGCTCCCACAGATTAGGCCTCCTCAGGGTGCCGTCGGCCGGACAATGCTGGCTGGTGACCCCCAGGGGGAGAGCCTTCTCTGTGGCAGCTCCTACCCTATGGAATGAGCTGCCCCCTGACCTCCGTACAATGGGGGACATACGCCTCTTCCGCCGAGCCCTAAAGACCTATCTGTTCCAAGAGGCCGGTCTGGCATAAATCTGAAACTCTAAAATTTTAAATTGGGTATAATTTTATATTATTATAGTNGCAAGGGAGAAGGGCGGTATATAAATCAAATAAATTTGAATTTGAATTTGAATAGCTACGATAATCTCACTATTTCTCACTATATTCTTACAGGAAGGCTTTGCCCCTCCAGAGGATGAGGAAGTGGGCGAGCAACATCCAGAAGATCAGGATGAATATTAGCTATGCGAAAGCACACTTGATTTCTCGCTGTCTGGCTATGACAGATCACCCCATGCTCCTCACTTACCATGGACATTTAAGGTTTTGCATTGTACAGCCTCATCCTCCACAGTCACATATTATAACAGGTTTTCTATCGACAAGAGGCCCCCAGTGGTTTCTGTATGTTGTGCAGAGCCCACAGGAAGCCCAGAACTACATGGTAAAAAAAGGCATCAGTAGGTGGCGAAGACCAGCACTGTAAATACCTTGTAGTGGGGCAGAATTCCTAGATTGGTGGCCTGGCTCTTTTTCCTCCTCCTGGTCCATCCCATTTACCCCTATTTATTGATTTCAGTTGTCTTGGGTGTGAGTGCTGCAATCCCTTGTATTATATTGAGAGACAAATTCTTTGTATATTTTTCCGTACTGGATTTCACTAGCACTTTGCCTGTCATATTCATGCTGAGCCAAGCTCTGGCACCCCTCCTGGCTTCAGAAAATTTGGGAGCATGTGAGCCTAAAGGCCAAGCTCAGTACTAGAAGCTCGCTCAGTGGGTGGGTGCAGGGGGAGGGGGAAGAGAATGGACTGGAATATTTATTTGGGGGTAGGGGGGATTTTAATAATGCTGCTGAGAATATGAGTTTTCCAGCCACTCTACTTGATATATCAGGTAGACCCAAGAAGAAGAGAATTTACTAGATGGTGGCTTTTTCTTTTTGGGATTTTATGGGAGATAATTTTGGAACGCGGCAGCCCTGTTGTTTGGAAAAGAAGCATGAAGGGAACCTCCCCAACAATGTTCTGTTTTCCACAAACACCACAGGTTACAATTGAGTCTGCCAGTGGGAAGGGCTCAGATGTTTTGCTCTCCACTTATGATTCTGACCCTACCAAGGTTTAGTTCATGCTGTTTGGATAAGTTTGCCACACAGACTCTGCCTTGACCCACTCCCTGTTTGCATTGCCTGTTCAATCAGACACTGGTGTGCAAAGCCTGCATCTGTGTTGCATTTTATTTAAAATAAATTTGTGTGGTTAAAATCTGTCCTGATGTGTGTGCCATAACCCACATCTCCACTTGAATGGATTGGTATGGTTGCTGTCAAAATATCAGTGCACCATGTCCTGAAGCAACAAGCCAGTGATGAATCAGGTGAATATGGCAATTCTGAGCAGACCAACAGTCCCTGACTTTGACAGGCCCTTTTCTAGTTGCTTATGTAGGAAGATTTTCCTTTTTGGCAGCCAAGAAACTGAGGACTGCTAGGGAGGGAGGAAAGAGACAGGGAGAGAAAGGAAGGAAAGAAAATGGAGAGAGGAAGGAAGGACATTTAAAAAGACATAAATCTCTTTCCCAGGTGGAGGTGATCTGTTATATCTTACCAGGTATTTTCATTTGAATAAATACTTCCCATTTTCCCAGGCACAGCAGGTACTTTTTTATAATTGCATACTGTAGTAATTTTTCTAGATTTAAAACAGAATTTAAAAAGTGTGTCTTAAAATATTAAGAGTTAAAAAGTGGGCACCAACCATCCCCAATGTTACATATCAGTCTTTGACTCCAATATCAACTGGCAGAACTAGGTCTTAACGTTCTTTGTGATGGCCAGAAGAATGGACACCTGCTTTATTTCTGGGGGGTAAAGTATTCCAATGAGATGGAAATGGAAACACACGTATACACAGGATAGACAGGAGGCATGGATAATCCCATAATATTCATTATGGGATTTTTTGTGTGTGCAAAGCCATTCCAAACCCATTCTGGATCAAGTCACCCTTTAGGACTCGCTGTGCCTAAATATTTTTTGAACAGTATTCTGCCTTTAAAAATGCGAATTTGTTGCCTGTAAGAATAGTTTTGACAGCTGCAACATCATGAAATTAAAACTGTGGCTACAGCTTGAAGACTGATGATCATAGAATAAGCCATATTAGGAGATGTGTTTAATACCTAAATAAAGTTGAATCATAATAAGCTAGATAATGCACTCAGGAGTCTAGAGAAATTCCTGTATGGGGACGTTTGAGTGATACGGAGCAGAAAAAAAGACAAGAGATACAGAGGAAACATTATGCACAGTCATAGTGAATAACATTTTCCCTTTCATAAATTCTTAAATGCAGGATGATTGAATGAAACTCGGTGGTAGAAATAAGAAAGTATTTTATACAGAACTCAACTGAGCTGGAATTTGCTATTAGAAGCTGGAGCAATGGCTACCCTAATAGCTTGTTTTCAAAATAATTTAAATCAATTCAGGGAGAGTAAGGATAAAATACAGCAGTTGTCATTCATGAGATCTGCATATTTATCTGAGATGTAGAGATCTTGGGTAACACTCAGGTACGCTATTGCACATATGCTGCTTTGAGATTTCCAATATATCTCTGGAGGATTCCCTTCCCCAATTAGGGCTATCTCTTGACTAATTAACCATAAGTCTCAATTGTAGTTTTGCTAAACCAAATTGTAATTCTGCAAGTTGGAGTCCGTTATAGGAGAAAGTGGTTAGCTGCAAAGTTTCTAGAGTCAAGCCAAATAGTATCACCCATACAAAGTTTTAATGCACCTTTCTTTATGCCTCCTTGCTAGTCCACCTTTACTAGTTTATGCACAGTGCTAAAGGAAATCAGTCCTGATTGTTCTTCGGAAGGACTGATAGCGAAGCTGAAGCTGAAATACTTTGGCCATTAAATGAGAAGAGAGGACTCGTTGGAAAAGACCCTGATGTTGGGAAAGATGGAAAGCAAAAGGGGACTACAGAGGATGAGACAGATAGTATCATCGACGCAATGAACATGAATTTGGGCAAACTCCGGGAGACGGGGGTGGGATGGGGGCGGCTGGAGTGCTATGGTCCATCGTCCCGAAGAGTCGGATACACCTTAGCGACTGAACAACTACCGTCATGGGAGAGTGGTCCAAGGAACGAGTCTTGCTTTCACGTCCAGCTTTTCAAAAAAGAATGCTTTATGGCCCGTCAAATAAATGAACAGGCGTGCCTCGACCGGAGCTATTAGGCATGAAAATCCAGGGTGAAGCTTCCTTATTCAGAGGCGATGTACCTCTGTATGTAAGTCATGTAAGCCAAAGAGCGAGAACAGCTCGGTTGTTTCTTGGGTCTTCCGCAGGGATCTAGGAAGAAGCGTGCTGATCTGAGTCTGCTCCAGCTTTTCAGACGCCTCCCAAAGCGAGTTTTTTCTAGCTCAGTGTTTCTCAACCTTGACAATTTTAAGGCATGTGGACTTCCAACTCCCAGAATTCCACAGCCAGCAATGCTGGCTGTGGAATTCTGGGAGTTGGAAGTCCACATGCCTTAAAATGGTCAAGGTTGAGAAACACTGTTCTAGCTGAATTCTCTCGACTGCCGAGATAAGACGCTATTAAGTAGCCGGCCGTGCTCCATCAAAGTCCGCCATTTTTCCTTCCCCCACCCCCCGCCCAGTTCGACTGCGCGGCGCGAAGCCCACCGTGACTCCGGAAGCAAGAAAGAGGCTTCGCGTCCCGCGGTCTACCAGGGAAGGCGGCGCTCGGCTGTCACGGCCAGGGGAGGCGGGCGAGCTTTAGGACGTGGCAGAACCAACGTCCGCCGCGGTCTCGCGCGGAAGGGGCGTCTGGCCAATGAGCGTAGCCTGAAGGCCGAGGGGGCGGGCCGTCATGCGCGAGCGAGGAAAGGCGCGCGGTCCGTCCTGTCCTTGCGCGGGCGCGCGTTGATGAGCGAAGAAGGCGAAGGCGAAGGCGTAGGAACGGACAGGGAGGCTGATGGCTGCGGCGGCGCGTTGGGAGGTGGTGCGGAAGCCTTCGCGCAGGGGAGCGAGCAGTGGAGGTGGCGGCTCTATGGGACGAAAGGCACTTGGAGACGCCAACGGAGGACGCGGTCTGGCCTCGTCCAGTGAGTGAGGAGGACAGACACACAGTCGAGCCTCCATATTCAGCGATAGTCTAGCTGTGCGAGTGGAAGGAAGGCAGGCGGCTTGCCTGCCTGCACTGGTTACATAGAACTCTGCTTTAGGGTTGTTGTTTTTCCCGAGGTGGCAAACAAGGGAAGGACTTGCCAGTTGGCAGAAAGGAGTCTAGCCACGTGCTGGAACGCAGTTTATGCTTTTTCTGTGGCTCTGGTTTGGGTTTTTTAAGCCCAGCTCTGGAACAAATTCCCTGCCACCGAACGGACGGAAGGCCTGGAAGGGCAGAGAAGCAAGCAGAGCTCTTAGAGACCCTTCCAGTTACCAAGTGAACGTTGCCCTGTCCTCACTTCTGATAGGGCGGGGGTAGGCAACCTTGGCTCTTTTATGACTCGTGGACTTCAACTCCCAGAATTCCTGAGCCAGCCATGCTGGCTCAGGAATTCTGGGAGTTGAAGTCCACGAGTCATAAAAGAGCCAAGGTTGCCTACCCCTGTGATAGGGGGTCCTGATGGTGCATGATTCTGAAACATCGGGTCGTTAGTTGGCTGTTCAGAAGCATTTCCCCTCTATTTAAAATTGGGTATACTTTTCACAGATTTGTTCTTTCTACATTGAGCCAAATGGTGAAATATTCTGGGACCTTGTAGGAGCATGTAACATGCAAGAAGAAATATTGCTCTGTAACAAAAGCACTTGAATATAACCTTTTCAAAAACTGTGGGTCTTTTAATGACACCAAATTTATTTTATGCAATTTTTTTTTAGCCATGTACATAATGCATTTAACAAATTAGATAGTCATTTGAGAAAAGTATTTAGATTACACACAATGTTGGTTAACGTTAGTTCCCACTTTGTGGCTTAGTTTATGGCTAATTTATTTTTTCAAATGTATTGTGTTTAAATCTAGAAAGTGGGTTAATTCTATAACTCTTAGATGTGTTGTATCAACACAGGTCATTTTAGTAGTCAGGCTTCACATGTCTCTTTTTCTATTCTCATAGTTCCTCTTGCTACTTCAGAAACTCTCTTTGAACTTGGCTTTGAGAAAACAACAAAGAAGCAGAATAAAGAACAGGTGCCTCCACCACCTGGACGCCAGCAGCAGAAAAAGCAAAACTCTGGAAAAAATTCTAAGAAAGGGACAGCTGGAGACAGTGGACAAACCAAGCAAATCAAAAACCGGACTCTGGAGGATGCACTGAAAGCAGTCAGTGTCATTTTTCCAAAAATTGTCTCTTCTGTATCTTTGTATTATATTGCAAATTAGAGGCTACCTCTGAAACAGAGAAGGCAATGTATTGAAAGTTTATTCTTCAGCTAGTAATGATACTATCTGCAAGTCTCTAATTGCAGCTATGTAGAAACAATAGTAGTTGACCCAAGAAGAATTATTGAATGCAAATAGTTGATGTGCAGTTTAAGTTCACTCTTTTTCTGCAAAGGGAAGATAGATTATTATCTGGAGTTAGAGTATGGTTACCAGTATTGTATTCCAGCTCAGGGTAGCAAGGATTGCAGAAGGACTTTGTAATGACTTTTCTTTCTCAGCCAAATGTTATTTATTTAGGAAAATTTTGTGTGTATTTGTCTTGTTTGTTTACAGAAGAATCAATCCTCATACTGACACTTGTTTCTCCATGGAATAAGTTACATATTTAAGAGCTGTATAGCCTGCATGCCCCACAGCTGTTCCAAAAGTTGTTACCAAACTAATTTATAATTAGGACCAAAGAGTATCATTACTAATCACATGAAAGGAAATTACAATTGTAACTAATCTTGTTTTAATAATATATAAATAAATTGTTCTTTGCCCAATGTTATTTTTTTTTGCTTTTAGTTTTATGCTTGTTACAATTCAGAGCTTGTAATAATTTTGTTTTGTAAATATTCATTGGGGTTTTCTTTAGCTTTGTTGTACTTCACCCAGAGTCAGTTGTTTGAAAGATGGGCTGCAGTATAAATATGAGAAATAGAGTCAGGTTTAGTGTTTGTTTTTGCCCTATTTTATAATTATCATCTCCCAATAATGTCATTCAAAGGCCACATATAGTTCTTATTTCATAAAGCAATTCTTGTTGCTGCCCAGTTTGCATTATAATTTTAGCCCCCCCCCCATCTGCAAATGAGATTTAGATTAGGTTGACAGTTCTCACCTTTCCAGTTTTTCACTGTAACTTTTTTTTAAATTCCAGCTGGATTTATCAGAACTCCAGAGAGAACTTGATAAAAGCTTGAATTTGTTCCCAGAGAACCCTTCGGTGTGGGTGAAAGATTTAGCTGGATATTTGAACTACAAGTTGCAGGCCACGAAGAGTGAGCCCACCCTCAGTCAGCACCCTCATGGTTGGTGGTACCAAGGGAATAATGTTGCTATCATTCAAGAATGGGAATACTGTTATTAAAATAAGCATGAATGTACTAGAGGTAGCCGTTAAATTGTTCTACTTGTCCTTTCTGGGAAACAGCAGCTGTTCCTTTATTCAGTCAAATCACTTTAGGTGATATAGAATTATCTTTCATCAGCTTTGTTTGACTCTCCAGCTCTAACAGGACAGCCTGACCATAATAGTTAATGCCTTAGTATACTTGCAATTGAATTACTTTGCTTAGAGCTATACAGAGAAAAATGGAATGCAGAGGTTTTCAAATTGCAGAGGAAGGGGGAGTTGGGGGGGAACCCCATTTGGTCCACTCGGCCTAGATGTGTGCTGTTTTTGATGAGCTGCTGGGGCTGTGATATCTGAGATTGAAACCTCAGGATATGTTAGTGTTTTTGCACTTGCAGCAACAGCTCATGCAATGGCCTCAACCTGCTTTTGAGCGCTATGCAAGGTGACTTGGCCCGGATCAAGGCATTCCTGCCTAGTTTTACCTTCTTTCAAGAGCAGCTTTTCCTGGGGTTGTTTCATGTGGTTCTGATGATCAATCTGCATGCCTACTCTGGACAGCCTGAGTGCCCAGGCTGTCAGCCTTACCCCCCAAAAAAACTCAGGAGGAACTACCCTTCAAAGAGGAAAAACTGAGAAGAAATGGAAGCACTTTCAGAGTGCATTCTGGCAGTTTTAGTTGGGGGGAGGTCTCACAGATATATTATGTTAGGGATAAGGGCACCTGTTGTAATTAAACGTTTCTGCGATTGAAATGAAAATACAACGCAACTTTCATTTTGGCCTCTCCTCAACTTGTGATATGATCCTGCTGAAGAAGCAACTATACTGTAATAATCTATATCACAACATCAGTGGTGGGATTCAGCCAGTTTGCACCAGTTCGGCAGAACCGGTAGCTAATTTTTTGTTGTCTAGGCCCAGAAATAGACCTCCGGAAGCGGCATCCACTCAGAGAACTGGTTGTTCACGTATTTGAACCCCACCACTACATAACACCCTAGCACGTTTGGGATGTGCTGCTCTTTTTCAGAAGTGGCCTCCTGATCACGCCCCAGCTCGGATACTTGTTTTAAGCATATGTAAGGAAAAGTTGTGGTAACAGTGTTCTGACCAAATAGATGCTAACTAAAATCTTGATCTTGCTATTATTTATATTTTTGGCTGCAGACTATCCCTACTGCCTGGTGAATAAAGAACTAAGGAGCATTATCAAGTCCCTCCTGTTGAAAGCTGGAGGTGTCCTGGAGCTTTTCTTTGACCATTGTATTTACACAATGTTGCAAGAGTTGGACAAAACTCCTGGTAAGATAAGAGTAGAGTATAGATCAGCTAATATATCTTGGGATCAAAGCTTCTGCCATGTAGGCAGAGGACACCTAAACAAGAGTAAGAACAGGATGCCGGTTTCTTTTACATGTAGCTTATGGCAGGCAGGTCATTTTTTCAAGAACTTTGCATTTTGAAAATCAGTTATAAAAGAAATGGAAGCATAAAGTTAACTTCCTAACAAAGAATGTAATGGAGGGGGAAAGTGTTCTGCTGGACTTGATTTTTTATCATACAGTCCTGATACAAGCAGTCTGAGGACCAGTTTTCAGGCCTAGGAGGATATGTTAGCTGTGGCATCAGCAAAAGGAGCAAGAAAGATTCAATTGAGGAATTTAGTTAGAGTACTCACTGGAATGCAGAACCAGAGTTGGTGACCATAGCAGAACCACCAAGATGAAAAAACAAAGAATCCTATTGTGTTGCAGTAATGAAGATCTGAGAACACAGTGAACCCTTAATTTAAAGGATGCTTATTTAGTGAATGCAATGGACCAAGTTTTTGTCTGCACATCTCAGCAAATGATAAGCATATGCTGAATTTGAAGAAGTCCAGACAAGGTGATTGAACCTTGGTTTTATGAAATCTGCAGCTATTTACATCATTTCTGTAATGACACAATTTTGAAAATGATGTAATTTGTTTCAGTTTACATCACTGAGTAACGGTATGATTGCACAGTAAAAATATAATTTTGTCATTTGGTTAATGATATCATTGTGGAAATGGTGTAAATTTGTCTGCCAAAATCATTGTGCAAATGACATCATTTGCATCCTTTTTCCTAATGATTACACAGATAATGCAAAATTCCACCGTGATGTATATGGCAGTCCTTCAGATTTGAAGAAGACGCACTGTCATATGGTTCATCTGTGGACATGGGGGTGGCTCTGTAGTCCCAAACTGAAAGTTCTAACTCTAGCACAACAACAGCACTAGAAGTCCATTTTTGTAGTAACTGTAGGTGTTATTCCATAATGCTGATCATGGTTTTCTGTCACTTTTTGGCAACACCAAAAAGTGAAGCATATGGCTTGCTGGAGGGTTCTGTCAGCAGCTGCAATGTCTAGTTCCCTTGGCTGGATGTCACAATAGAATAGAGTTTCTTTCACAGCGCCTTGCAGTGTTTGCATAGTCAACCTCAAGGTTGGGAGGAACTCAACAAATTGCAGTCGGCACCAAGCTGGTGGGAATAGCCAACACTCCAAAAGATAGGGTCAAGATCCAGAAGGACCTTGAGAGACATAAACACTGGGCCCTATCCAACAAAATAAAATTCAGTGGTGAAAAAAGTAAGATTCTACACTTAGATAAGAACAACCAAATGCACAGGTATGGAATAGGCAGTACCTAACCCAATAGTAGTAACTCTGAGAGGGATCTGGGAATCCTAATGGACAATCACTTAAATATCAGCTAGCAGTGTGCTGCAGCGGCCAAAAAAGCTAGTGCAGTTCTAGGCTGCATTAATAGATGGATAGTATCAAGATTATGTGAAGTGTTAGTACCATTTTATAATGCCTTAGACCACCTTTGGAATTGCATCCAGTTTTGGTCGCCATGATACATAAAAGATGTTGAGACTAGAAAAAGTGCAGAGAAGAGCAACAAAGATTGTTAGTGGATTGGAGGCTAAAACATATGAAGAATAATTGCAGGAATTGGATATATCTAGTTTAATGAAAAGAAGGACTTAAGGTGACATGATAACAATGTTCCAATATAGGAGGGACTGCCACATAGAAGAGGGGGTTAACCTGAAGGTAGGACAAGAAGCAAGGGATGGAAACTAATCAAGGAGAGAACTGACCTAGAAATAAAGAGAACTTTTCTGACAGTACGAACAATAAATTAGTGGAATGGCTTACTTCCAGAAGTTGTCTGTGCTCCATCATTGGAGGTTTTTAAGAGGAGATTGGACAACCATTGTCTGAAATGGTATAGGTCTTCTGGTTGAGCAGGAGATTGGACTAGATTCCAACTCTGTTATTCTGTTAAATAAGATTTCACTCTACTTTTATGTTTATGACAAATTAATGGACTAAGAGTGATGGCAGAAATAGCACATTTTCACTTACTAGGAAAGCAAGATTCACATCCCAAATTCAGACAGATTTTTTTCTGCAGAGGCTCAACATGGGCTGCAAGGACTTCATGTCCAATTTAATATATCCTATGTGCCAGTGACCTAATTGCCTTATCTTTCAGGGGAGTCACTGCACAGCTACAGGATCTGCATACAGGCTATATTACTGGACAAACCTAAAGTTGCTACAGCAAACTTGAGCAAGGTAAGTTGACAGGGGTCTACTCTTCTAAAAAGTCTGTGAGTAACATATTCAAGATCATATCTGTAAAACTGAATATTGGAAAACTAATGTACTGTGATCCATGGAATGCCAAATGGATTGACAATTTTATGCCTGAGGACACCATGTTGGATGAGAGCAGTTAGCAAGAAGCCCTGTGAAGCAGAGCAATTCCAAGAGAGTTGCTTTGCATGCTTTCTTGCTACAAAGGTTACGTTAAAACGTCTTTGCCTTTTCTGTTTCAGTATCTTGAGCTGTTGAGATCCCACCAGAATCAACCAGCCAAATGTCTGACCATAATGTGGGCCTTGGGGCAAGCTGGTTTTGCTGACCTTACAGAAGGGCTTAAAGGTGAGAACAGCAGGATTTTTATATTCATCAGGAATGTTTGCTTTTCAATGCCCTGACATTCATGACAGCTCTTAAATATTTTAATCTTTCCGTATGCCATTAGTTTACCACTTGCATTTATGTATTATGTAAATCCTGCTCGCCTACATATTTCTAAAAGTACCTGATGTGGGCAGAAATAATAAAAAACAAAATTGACCATTCAGAAAGAGTCTAGGAATAAAACTTAAAGAATCTTGCATGCTTAATTCAGAGTAAAGAAAAAAGATTTTCAAACTAGCTAAACTTGTTTTGTAAGTAACATACAAAGAGCAGTATCTGATAAGGAATCTAATCATAGCTGGGTTGATACTTCTCCAAAGAAGTATTCTTCATGTTCAAAAACCTCTTCCCACATGTTAAGTGGGACAATCCTGTTAAAGGTTCTCATACATTAAAATAAACATGGGAAAGTTCCTGACTGTACCCTAACTTTGGCCAGCTGAGTCTCATCCCTGTGCTAACTCCTTCAAAAATAGGCACTTCAAGTGCCTACGCTGAAATAGTGTTATGCTCCACTTTCAGCTTTCACAGTGAAAAAAAAAACAGGAAAAAGATTGGTACATCAACAACAGCTGTTTAAAGGCAGGTCAAGCAGCTTAAATATGTAACTTTTAGAGTTATACTTGCCCATGTTTTTAGGGGAGTCTTATATCCAGCAAGAGAAGTGGGAAGAGCAAGCGGTTCCCAGCAAGTGATAAGACCCTCTTATGTTCAGCCTCTTTTCTTTGGGAAATAATCTGCTACATGTGGATGAAGCTGTACTCTTTGGAAACAGAATTAGTCTATGCCTGGGATGAAAATTGCTTAGGCTTATCCCACTGTTTTTCAGTGGACAGTGCTGAACTCCCTCATGGAGGAATGGAAAGTTATGAGTGCAGCATGTTTTCCCCCCTCCCTCCCCCCAAAAGTACTTTTATGTCCCTTTTTTTCTTAGTGTGGCTTGGCATCATGCTTCCGGTTCTGGGCATCAAATCTCTCTCTCCATATGCCATCAGTTACTTGGATCGGCTGCTGATGTGAGTTGATGTATAACGGGGAGTGCTGTTATTGGGAAGCATTTGTGCATGTTGACTTTGCTATCAGGTTATTTGATCCTTCCCTTTACCATTTGCCATAAAGGGATAGACTAATTCATAAATCGGTTTAACTTTCCTAGAGGCTTCTCAAGCAACAAAATAACTAAAGAACTGTTAGTCCATGTTTCCTTTCCTTTTTTATTTCAAATACAGATTTAAAATAGTGTGTGTTTGAACTTTTATCAGTTCCAGTTCACTTGTTTCTTTTGCCACCATGTTTTCGTCTGTTTTGTCACAGCTTAAATGTTTGTGATCTCTTGCTCTATAGGGAGCTGAGTCTTGCTCCTGTACTAGGAGGGCTGGGACAGATTTCACTGATAGAGGTGAATCTTGGTGATGCAGAAGGAGGGAGGCCAGGATGCTAAAAGGTCTGATAATTCATCTACAGCAGGGGTGTCAAACTCAGTTTCATTGAGGGTCGCATCAGCATTGCGATTGCCCTTGGGGGGCTGGATGGGTGTGGCCTACTGGGTGGCCGTGGATGGAGTGGGTGTGGCCTACTGGGTGGGCATGGCCAACTCTACATCGTTCGCATCAAGGGTGCCTGTGGGGGCCTGGGCAGGAGTGGGACAGATCTGAGGGTCTCTGGTAGAAAGGGGTGGGACCGGGGCAAGTGCCAAGGCATGGTCCATTTCTTCATTCCTCACAAAGGGTGACACCTCCCCAGCATGCACCCAGGGGGCGGGGCCGACGCAGCAGGGGCTGGTTCCTCGCTGTTTCCAGACGGCCTTGTGGAGCTAAGACTGAATGCGTTTCAGCATAGATGGCCACTGCAAAATTGTACATTGGCTCCCGGCCGGCCAGGGCCAGGGCCAAGGCAGCGGGGGCCGTTCCCTCATTGTTTCCAGGATGGCTTCGCGGGCCACGTGAAACCACTTCGCGGACCGCATCCGGCCCCCGGGCCTTGTGTTTGACATGTCTGATCTACAGATTATTAAAGCCTTTCTGCATATGTGTTATTGGGAATAATTCTGATCATGAGAGAATTTAGATGTGGAAGAATTTGGAATGAGATTGACTTGATGCTGATAGCCAGGAATCTGAGGGCAGGCTAACCATGCTTTCTCTTTGGCAGGATACATCCTAATTTGACAAAAGGGTTTGGGATGATAGGGCCTAAAGACTTCTTCCCTCTTTTGGATTTTGCATTCATGCCCAACAACTCTTTATCCTCCAGGTATGTCAGCCAAAATGAGAATCATATGCAATCAATCCATTTCCCCTGTCTCAGAAAATATTGCAGTGGGAATGCCTCTTCTGTGGAGGGAGGAACTTTGGGATAACAGTAGGGCAGAAAAAAAAATTGGGACGGGGCAAATAATTGCTGAGCCAGGGCAACATTTGTCCTTCATAGGAGGAGCAGTCATGTATTGCGCCAGCCAGCCAGCCAGCCAGTCAGTCAGTCAGATATCTTATCTTAAGAGGCTAAAACATACAAGGAACGGTTGCTGGAATTGGGTATGTCTAGTTCAATGAAGAGAAGGACGAGGGGGGACATGATAGCAGTGTTCCAATATCTCAAGCCACAAAGAAGAGGGAGTCAAGCTATTTTCCAAGGCGCCTGAAGGCAGGACAAGAAGTAACGGATGGAAACTAATCAAGGAGAGAAGCAACCTAGAACTAAGGAGAAACCTCCTGACAGAACAATTAACCAGTGGAACAATCTGCCTCCAGAAGCTGTGAATGCTCCAACACTGGAAGTTTTTAAGAAGAGACTGGACAGCCATTTGTCTGAAATGGTATAGGCCGGGTTTCCTGCCTGAGCAGGGTTTGGACTAGATGACCTCCAAGATCCCTTCCAACATTATTTATTTATTTATTCATTTATTTATTCATTCATTCATTCATTCATTTATTGAAAGTTGTTCCTTTGGTAGATAAACAGTCAAAGGAGATGATAGTAAATGTAAGGTAGAAGTGCAAGCAAAAGACACAATATTTGCACAAATGGAGCAGTAATAAGTAGGTAATAAAAGTAATAAAATAAAAAAGACACAAACCCATTTTCTGCAGCCTTATGTTTCTGTTCTTTATTTTTTTCTTTTTGATACTTTTTCCATAGAAAGATGAATTATCCCAACTTCAGTTTTTGACACCCAGAAATTTTACATATTATTTCTTCAGGATTTTTTTTTATTGCAAAATATATTACAGGCACAAAGGTGAAAGGAGTTGTCAGGTGCTAAATAACTCATATTACTGGTGATTTTATAGTCCACCAAATCCGGTATTTTCTACAGTCATTTGTTTTTTCTTGCATTTTGATGTTATTCTTATGTAAACTTACAAAATTGAGGTGCAAAAGGAGGCAACAGTCACTGAGTTTGTCCTTTGGCACCTGCCAGCCCACGGGCCAGACACATCATCTGGAAGCCATGCCCACCCCATTGCCGGCAATGGCAAAACTGTCCCAATACGTTGCACGTCATGTAACGTCACGAGTTTGACATGTCTGCTCTTGAGCATCACTTGTAGCTTTAAAAGAGTATTTCTTGAATTCCCCAGCTATCATGGCTGGCTTGGGAATACTGGGAGTTGAAGTTCACACATGTTAAAGTTGCCAGGTTTGAGAAACACTCCCTTAGAACAGTGGAGGCCATGGCATTTTTCCAACATTCCTTCATGTGAGGGAATGATTGCAGCATTGTTGAGCACAAAATATGTTTTGGGCGGGTTGATGAAGGAGGGAAGGTGCAGTAAATGAAGAGCCATCCTAAAGCCCCTATTTCTTGATTTTCTTCCTGGTATCCTTGGAAGATGTCTGTAGCAGAAATGCACCTTTCTCATTTTGGGACATGGTTGGACTGATACAGTTTGCTTTTTTCTTCAGTCTGCAGGAACAGCTCCGGCAATTGTATCCCCGCCTGAAAGTGTTGGCCTTTGGCGCTAATCCTGAAACTTCCCTGCACACTTATTTCCCTTCCTTCCTCTCCAGGACCACCCCCAGCTGTCCCAGTGACATGAAGAAAGAGGTGAGGCTGAGAGGGGAACAGGATCAGAAGGGACAAACATACTTCGTAAGCAGTCAGATGGGCTGCAAAGTTTAGCCAATAAATAATTTGCATTAAAAAGTAGCACCCAATTAATTAGGGCACCATAGCATGTTAAACTGAAATCCTTCAGTGTTAGGTCTCTCATACAAGGGGCAATCTTTCCCATGGCTTATGAAGAGGATGTCTACTGTTTCTGCAGAGCTAATCCTATCAGAATTATCCCTAAGAAATTCAGAATTGTTGACTTGATCATTTAGATAATCAATTATATTAGTTCTATTAATGTGAGCATTTTAGTACCATTTGATATCTCCCAGCTTCCCTGTCAATTCAGTATCTGAGCAACTAGTCCTAATTATAGAACCTATTTCTTGTATCTGTGGCAAATCGGGAAAGAACAAAGCTAAAATTATTTGTGATTTGGTCATAATGAAATAACTGATACGGCTTGTATGGAGGGAGCTTCTTTTGGCAGGTTATCCAGCAGTAGAAGTGAGCTGAAGACAATCTAATTTTAGTCCATATGAATGATATTATCTGTTTCAGAAATTTTGTCAGAGCTCAGCCTTATATGCAATCTGTGGCCTTGAACATAGGAACAAGGAATATACTAGGGATGTAACTTCTATACGAGATACTTCCCTGTCTTGCAAACTCCCTGGCTGAGCTGACCAAACCAAGCTTTTAAGGCAAGGTGATTTCAGTATTCCACTTTGAGCTTGGTTTGTCTGGTGCAGCTCATACATGCTGTGTTAGACTTGGTATAACCATTATTCTAGACCAAACCCAGTTCATCTTAGCTCTCGTGCATGTTGCTGATTACATAGAGACGAAGAAATCGACACAGACCTTATTATGAAACGACAACTTTGGAAGACCTCATTGGAATAATAGAATAATAGAACAACTTCCGACCTGAATGTTGTCGGGAGAAACGGACCCATTAGTAAGAACATATAACGGGGTAAGTTTAGTTGAGTCCCACCAAGTCTCGTTATTTCATTGTTTTTGTCGTTTTATATTTTTGGTAACCAAAACAAGTACAAAAATAACTGCAAAATTATCTCAAGGTAGCAATCCAACAGCAAAAAAACCATCACAAACAGAAAAGCTCCATATGCTCTCTTGTTGTCAGCCTCTCTAGGTAGGCCAGACCAAAAAAAATCAATTCCTCAAGATGGCTAAAACTATTTTTCTTGAGATTGGCTACATTAACAGAGTCTTGCAAGTCTGGTTGTGCTGCACCTTCTCCCCCTTCTCGTATTTCAGTGAGTTAGGGAAATGTTCTGCCTGAACCTCTTGTGAACTCTTATCTGTTTTATTGTGACTTAAAATATTTTTTACCTCTTGTCACCCTAGTAATAGAACATGCATAACTCTATCCACATCATCTTCTTTTCATCTGGGTAAATGTTTTTAAGGCCTTCCAGACCAACAGCCATTTCACCCTGCTAGGATTAAGCCTGGACTTATTTTTTTCCTTTTCCAATCCTGATAGCACCAGGGCAGGGAGTCCATCTTGTGCTCAAACCAAAGAGGGAGATATTTTATCCCATACAAGCAGTTGACCTCCAATAGGTTCACATAGATGTTGATAAGGGAGGGAGGGCTGAGTCCAGAATTCAAACCAGAGTGTCTGAGGAATTGACCTTTTCTCCCTTCTCATCACAGTCTGGACTTACAGAGGAGAAACTTGACTGCAGCACAGTGTCCCCCATTCCCACTTTTTTAAGATTTTGAAAATGTATCTGTCTTAGTTGGCCTGCAACATGTAATTCATTTTTTATTTTTATAGTCCACCTTTCATCCAGGAATTCAAGGTAACATAATATTTCCTCTATTTTTTCCTGCAAAATAGGTTAGATTGAGAGACTTTCCCAAATTCACCCAGCAAGATTTCATGGCTGAGAGTGAACCTTGCTGTCCCTGCTGCTAATCAAACACCTTAATTACTATGTTACACTGACTTTCATTTTTAATCCAAAATTATTATTTTATTTTAATGTAGATTTTACAGGTTTTAAAATTCATACAGGTGGTTATCCCCTCTTTTGAATCAGAAAGAACTTTAGGGAGGTTCAAGATAAGCTTATGAAGCATTTCATTCATTCATTCATTCCATTCAATTTCTATGGCCACCCATCTCAGTCAATGACACTTAAACTTAGATGAAATCAAGTTGTTTCAGCCAGACTGTTTTATTTACTGAAGTGGTCGTGGCTTGAGAGTTCAAGGCTCTCATTCTTTTAATTCGAGATGCTCATGGGACAAGCATCTTTTCTTGGCGTGAAGTATTTGCTGTTCTTTTCAACGATACTGACAAAGGAAAGTCACCATTTTAGTTTACCGAGACACGAATACGAGGGAAACAAAGGTGTCTCTCCATCTACACATTCTTACTCTAAGGACGTTTTTAGCGTCCTACGTACGGGCTTGAGGTCCTCAACTCAAGAGGACTAAGTCTACATAACAAACGTAGGTATGCAAACCCCGTCCGGAACCATACCTTGTGTTAGACCTGGGAAGATATATCTCTAAAGCTCTGATGCTGGCATGAGGCTTCCCATGTTAAGGGTAGCCTTTTCAAGAAGCAGCATTAAAATACCCTTGTATTTTTCAATGTCCCAAAGGTAGGGAAGAATTTTCCCATTGAATGTGGAAAGCATTTTCTGGTACAGAGAGATGAGAAACTTGATAAATTAAGTCTGCTGTCTTAAAACCTGTAATATTACGATTGCACTATGACTGCTGTTTGGAAATGTCAGTGTCTAATCTTTAGTCCTCTAAGAATTATTCTGACTTGCCCTGTGTAGCTCCTGAACTGTTTGACCGAGTGCCTCAATCTTGATCCTCTCAGTTTCAGTGTGTGGAGGCAATTATACATCAAACACCTCCCACAGTCAAGGTAAGAATGAAAAAGCTGCTACTTGATCACATGAGCAACTTAGCCATGTTGTATTTTGCATGATACAAAGCTAATTTGTCTTAATCACAAAATCCAGTAATCATATTCACATAATACAATTAGATCTGCTTGCTGAATCAACCCATTTTTTGGATTAGGATAATACAGTGCAATGTAAACTAATAAGGTGGGTTGATGTAACACTGCCACAAAACCAAAGTTAATCAAGATAAAATCAATCAAACTCCACGTGGTAAGCAACTGCCAGCTTTTAGCTGACTTAATCATTCAGTAAAATGCATAGCAATTTCTTCCTTTTTATATACTGTTGTGAATGGGCCTTCCCTGTTTCCACACATTCTCTGTTCCAATATCTGAGTTTAGGAGACAGAGTTTTTAAAACACCTCACTGTTAATATTTTTGCTTTGTTTTTTCAGCTTGCTCCTGAATCACTTCTTGGAGACCTGGGGCAACACTACCAAAAAGGTTTGTGTCTCTTTTTCCCCCCAAGGAATAGATTTTTCATGGGAGACTTGAGAAGGGTAACAAATATCAAAAGAATATTTATGTGTGTACCTGAAAGGCAGATTGATTCAGTGCAAAGGAATCTGTCTATTTTAACATACTAAGAAGTATTTGTTGAGATACTAAAATTTAATTTGGTGTTTTATATATGGCTAAAACCAATTAGAAAATGAAAAGATATATTCTCTGTAGTTTGTGACTGAACTGAACAGAAGGAGTTCTGTTTGTGCCCACTTGTGAATGTGACTCAGAGATACTAAGATCAAACAAAGTGATGTATCTTGAAAGCTTTATGCAGATGAGCTGGTAATAGTTCCTTTAATGAAAATACATGGTTATCCTATCTATCTGTCTGTCTATCTATCTATCCATCCATCCATCCATCCATCCATCCATCCATCCATCCATCCATCCATCCATCCATCCATCAAATTTATATAGCCTCCCATTTCACCAAAGGCAACTCAGGACAGTGCAGAACAGCCAAAGATAGCAACAGATATAAAAACAACATATATAAAAGTAAATGTTATAAAAATCAAATAAAACCTAGACAAAGGGAGGACTGATTGCTTCTGTACTTTACTAGACTTTTTCTTTCCTAGGTGCGAAAATCTTTACAGGGAACAGTTCATTCATTCAGTGTCACAAATGAAGAGCTGGCTATGAAAGGACCAAACAATGTTCAGGACGTAGCAGCTTGTAGAACTGCCTGCGAGGTAATTTATTTGCTTATGGAATGGCGCACATTAGCAAACCTATATGGATGCTTGTTTGCTTCATTCTGCTTTACAGCATTGCTTCTTTGGTTCTGTTCTTTAGAACCTGCTGCTGAAGATGAAAGCCAGTGGGTTTCCTTGGCCACGGCTGATTTTAATCCTCCTTATATTTACTGCTGGATTTCTAATATATGATATCAAGACTCATGGCTCCTTCCAAGGTTAGGATTTGTTTCTGGAGGCATGCAAGATGGTGCTTCTTTTCTCCCCATAATAAGACTGAAATAAGGCATGAGTTTTACTGTAATGGAAATCTTTCATCTATTGTTTTGTTGTTGTTTTGCAGCTTCTGCCTCTGCACATGTCCTTCGATCTTCTGGCATCCTGTCTGTATCTGAGCAAGCCTGGAACAAAGTTTCCCATTTCTCTGTAAAAGGATACAGGTCAGTAATACATTTTAGCTGTTTTAGCAAAGAGAGCAGTTTATAAGAGCATTCAAAACCACAGACAATTGAGAGATTATTCCATCTGGCTGGATGATGCCTTTGAGGACAATTCCTTTTTCAAGGCAAAGCCTCATTCCACCCCCTCTCTCTCCCTGCAGCTGGCTAGAAGCAAATATACCAGTTTACTACTCTCAAGTGGCAACAGTTCTCGGACCCAATTTGGAGCTGGCCTGGACCAAGACAAATGAAACTGCTATCTATATCTCTGGGAAGTGCTCTGCTCATTTAGCCTGGCTCAGCAACCATCTCCTTAGGCTCAGTGAATGGGTAAGAATGCTGCTGCTTTTGGCTGTCCAGCCAAGCTTCATTAGGTAGAAGTTGGAAATTAGGAGTTGAAAACAGGGGAGAAACGTAGAGTTGTTAATGTCCAGAAGCACTGAGGATTTCAGAAAATAAGAAGGAAAAAAATGAAGTTGGGGCTATGCAGACCATACTTTGGGAGAACAGGAGTCCTCAACCTGCAGTCCACGGCCTACTACCAGGCCATGGCCTATTGGCCACCAGGCCACAGAACAGGCTGGCCAATGCACGCACTCATCCCCACTCATGCTAGCGCCACTGCTGCTATGCAAACAGGGCACTGTGTGACAAAAATAGGGCGCCGCTGCTATGCAAACTGGGTGGTGCACGGCACAAAAACTGGGCGGTGCACGGCGCAAAAATAGGGAAAAACCAAGCATTGGGCGGCACGAAAATGGGAGAAAACCAGGTGCCGCGCAGCATAAAAACAGACAAACCAGGCGGCATGCAGTGCGAAAACCAGGCAGCGGGCAGCGTGAAACCCAGGTGTCGCATGGCGTGGAAACAGGAAACCAGGCGGCGCATGGTGTGAAAACAGGCAGCGCGAAAACCGGGTGGCATGCAGTGTAAAATCCGGGCAGTGCACAACACGAAAACCAGGCACCACGTGGCACGAAAATGGGGCAATGCTAGCACCCACATGGCAAAACCAGCACAGTGCTAGTGAGTGTCACATGAGCGCTAGCCCCACTCGTGGCCCCATTTGTATGCGTGCGTGCATAAAATGCTTCTCTCCCCCTTTTTCTCCGGTCCGCCAACCGAGAAAGGTTAGAGACCTCTGACATAGAAGACAAGGAGGAAGTATCAGGGGCAACAATGAAGATTCCATTGTCATGCCTATTCCTGACAGAGAGGAGTTACATCCTTTCGTGTTTTCATTCCTTTTGCAAAGAAATGTCTTGAAGGGAATGTTGGTGTCTTCGCGTCTTTCCCTCTCTGGGTGGGATAATTTGCATGGTGTGTTATATCATTCTTTGTTTGATGTCCCTAGAGTGTTGGCCAGTGATAATCCTGACTGAAAATGATGGAATTTATAGTATAGCACTTCTTGTGGATATTAGATTGTGGTTGATTTATATTTTATTGTTATACTAGGAGGAATATTGGACACAATAGACATCTGCTGTTGATTGCCCTATGTCATTGGCATATAAATCAAAATATTGGCCTGTTGAACAATAGGAACCTGGCACATGGCCATTTTCAAACTTATCAAGTGTTGAGTATTTTATAGCATGTTAAGCCAGTGAGGAGCTGGTTGGTTAGTAGCCAATCTTGTAAACTGCTTGACTGAGCATCTTTATTTTCCCTGTAGCTTCAGACACAGTTGCCAGATTCTGTGCTATATGCTGTTCAATACCTCAGAGAATTACTGCTGTTCCTCATGCGAAACTGCTTTCTGCCTGTTGTGGACTATATTGCTGTGTCATTGGACGGAGCCTGGAAAATGTGGTTAGCTTTCTGCAAGTATGCATTGTCTATGTGTCTTTGGGCCCCAGACAGAACTGATTTTAATTCACTTTGGCATGGCTAGTTATATGTTTGCTAAAGCTAAATAGGAATACAAGAGTATTAAAGTGTGTAACAGAATTATCTGAGGATCCCCAGTTAGAGAACTATCTATTTAGTGAGGCACAACACAGACTCAATGTATCCCAAAAGAAGCATTGAAAAAAGGCAGTTGAGGAGAAACAGCAGACTGGTTATAGCTATAATATGAGGGTGACTAATGAACTCTAAATGCACTTAATGTTTGCAGGTTCATGAGTTTCTTGTTATAAAATTTGAATACAAAGTGTGGATTTAGTAAAATAATCTGGTATCCTGTGCATTCCTATGTTTAATTATTTAAAATATCCCAGCTTCTAAGGGTAGGAATTTGCGAAGTTTGAAGATATGTAGGCAGGGCCTCAGAAGCTGATTTTAATTCTCTGGAATCGCAATTATTAGAAGTGGCCTTCAGTTTTTCTTTGCATTATTTCCTTGTCATGAGAGGAATAAATGGTGCAAAATGATATTAAACAGATTTGCATTTTTTTTCTGTCTCTGTGTCACCAATCTGTTCAACCATATGGATTAGTAAAGTTAAGCTTCTGGTCTGCTCATTTATCAGGATGGTACACAGACATTCCATAGTGGCTTGTGGGCACATAATCTCACTTTGTTTAGCAGAGGAGGTCAATTTATAGTCCTCCAAATGTTAAATTCTCAATTCTTATTAGTCCTAACCAACATTGCCCATGGTAAAAGAAGTTGGGAGATGGAGTCCAAGGTCATCTAAAAGTCTACAGATTACCTACCCCCGTTAAGGTAACAATATATTATAATTATAGTACAGAATAGCTCTTAGAAATGAAGGACTTTCTGATTTCAGTTCTTAGTCAGTATTAGGGCCAGTTAAAAAGGAATTACTTTTAACCATCATTAGGACCAGTTAAAAAAAACCTGATCTTTCTCTAGATGGTTGGCAATGATTTTGACATGTCTTCTGGCTAAGCTGGCAAAACTTAGATCACTATTAGAGAGCCAGTTTGGTCTAGTGATTAAGGCACCAGACTAAAAACCAAGAGACTGACTTTTACTTCTGTTTTAAGTATGAAAGCCAGCTGGGTGACTTTGGCTAGTCATTTCTCTCAGCCCAACTCACTTTACAGGATTCTTGTTGTAGTGAAAATAAGAGGGAGGCATATTAGATATGTTTCCCACCTTGAATTATTTATAAAAATAATAAAGGTGTGATAATGAGGAGCCAGATTGTTGAGGGTAATATGATGACTCTGTAAACTGCTTAGAGAGGGCTGTAAAGCACTGTAAAGTAGTATATACGGTAAGTCCAAGTGCTATTGCTATGAAAAAAATCTTAAAAATTACTTAAGAAAGACTTGAGCTATTTTATTCTTTCCTCTGAAATCTGGATGAACCAGAACTGCAAAATATAACTGAAGAGTCAGCTGCTTACCAAAAATGTCATTAATTGAAATGTGAGGTCCAGGTTTACTCTTCTCCATAAGGAGAGAACAAGCAATGCTTGATGCATTCCAGGCAGTTTATGGCAGGAAGAATATTGAACCCAATCTTCTTTTCAGGCAGAGGTGGAAGCATTGTTCCAATTATAAAAAGAATACAGATATCAGAAGTTAAGGAAAACACATGGTAGAAACAGAATTTAATTGCTGCCATTACAATAGGAAATGATAATTCTCGATTATCTTGGCTGAGTCATGCCTTCTTTTAGGTGGGGTTGTGGAACAAAATCTGGCTATTGAGAAGATGACAGGACCAAAGTGTACACTTTTGAGAGAGGTTCTCCATCTCTATCTTAAAATCTCAGTTTTTTGTACTATTGCAGCAATCTAATATGTAGGTTGTAGAATTCATGGAGCATCTAAATTTCTTCAACTTACTTTCAGTTAAGTCAATATCTGCAGTTATCTCAGTTTTTTGAATGGTTCATGCTATGTCTGTGCAGCCTCAAATCAATTTCTGTTTCTTCTTTTAGTGGCGAAGGGTCCTGGACCTGCTTGAAAATGCATCTAACCAACCTCATCCATAGAAGAACCTGTATGGACGTCCTGTGTTGACACCGGTAATTCCTGACCCGACAAAGGTATTAGAGATCCGTGGTCGTCACTAGGATCCGAGTCTTCGACTTTTACTTCAAATCCGATGACGACAGACCTACCGATTTCGTCCTACATGGTTAAACGAATAAGAAATCAGACTGGTTTCTTGTCGTGTTGAAACTGAACTTGTAGAAGCCCAGAGCTTCCCAGACCAGATGTCTCCAAGCTCCCAATTTACTGTGCTGTCAGGCTTGTTCTCAGCTGAGCTCCCAGGCAGCTGTTGGCAGGCTGTTTCCTTGATATGACTGTCCCAGGCTACAATGGTAATAACAGCTTTTAAGAGAGCAAGGTGTATCCAGCAATTATTTTGGAAAAACACTTCCTATTTCAGTAATATCTCAAATAAATTGGTTGCTGGGTCAGTGACTTACTACCACTTTATGCATGGAGCTTTTCCTTTTATTCTTAGCTTTTATCATAAATGTGCCCTTGAAGTTTTGAGGCAGTCCTACCGTCTGGTTCTCATATTGAATGCTACCTTATTGGTTTCCTTCCCATCTTTATTGTATCTGAGATATTTCTGGTCCATTTCCCAAGGTTGTACTATTACTGTTCCTCAAAGCAATTAATATGTTAATTTCTTTATACTAAAAACAAAGGGTCTTGGTCTTTCCCCCAAAATGTGTTTGCCTTACTGAATTGTGGAACAGACAATGCAAAGGAGGGTGAATACTTCACTTAGCAACACAAATTGGCTGATGTGGAGGAAGTGGGACATTTCTCTTGGGAGCCACATTCCTCTGAGAATAATGTGTAGCAGTCTGAAATAGATGAAACTTAAGTAGTAATACGCCTAGAGATGAACATGGGTGGGCCCCTTGTTATCTTCTGACACTTAACTTCTGGCTTTTTTTATCTCTATTCCCATTCCCAAACAAGACAGATTACTCTTGTGAGAAATCTGAATGAGGAACAATAAATCATTTAACTGAGGTCTGAATTCTGAGGTGTATGTAGGCTGACGGTCAGATATTCCTCACCTCCTGGTCTGAGTTGAAACTAAAAAAGAGAAGGGATGGATAAGCTAAGTCGGTCTCCCAGCCAGTCTGTGAGTGGCATTTTGTTATGCTCACTCCTTCCCGAATGCTTTGTTTTGCTGTAGTCTCTTCAACTGAATCAGTCCCTTGGAAAGGCCATTTTAATTTTGAGGTGTGACTTATCCTATATAACCAACTCTGCCCTAAATATCTTGGTGAGCTGTTGGCTCTCTCAGCTGAGAACTTTGATATATCTGTATGTGTGAAAGTATGCAATGGGGAAATAATAGGTTAGAGATTGGTTCTTTTTGGCCTGTTGCTCCTACCTATCAGTTGGTATCTCAGCCTTTCTTGAACTGGTATCCTCTGGATGTACTGGTATACACTTCCAGTTGTTTACAGCAGAGCAGAATATCTTTTTTGGATCAAGGGCAAAAGCCTCTGAGCCTTGAGTGGTGTTCCAAAAAATATGCCACACTAGGACAAAGAAGTGATGCCACCAAGACAGACACTGTTTGGTTTTATTTCACTTTACTTAATATGCCTCCTCGTATATTTAATAACTTCATTATTTTCAATGTGCTTTGAAGACTACAATACTCAAGGTTTCTGAGACCCACAAATTATTTGGTTGTATATTTCTAGTCTAAATATGTTGACTGGGGCTGTAATCAATACCGTGTATCTGGGATGCGGAAAGGAAAGCTGGTTATGCATTCACAATTCGGTTGTAAAAGTGAGTCAGCTATAAAAGTGAGTCCTGTGCAGCAGCACTTCTCTCCCTTTAGCTCAGCAGGCTTATAATGGTGGACCTGGTCATGACAATTGTGTGAGGCTCTTGTCATGTACAATAAAGGACAGTGTATTTGGTTACATTACTTGCTTTCATGTCTGTCTATGCCATCTGCCCCTTTCAAAATGTCTTATAAGTCTATATTATTTATTAAGATTTCTCACTGCCCTGACATTCTTTTTTTTAAAAAAGTTTTTTATTTATAATACAATTAAAACAAAAATGGACATACGTGGCATTCCAGAGTAAATATTCCTAACAATTTGTTTCTCGTGATACAAAAACTTAATACATCATCCTTAACCTCTATATAAACCTCATTCTTTTACACAATACAATTATATATACAGTTATATGTACAATTATATGTATGTTTCAATCCTATCGTTAGCTTAAGATCCGAGCGGTTCTCCTTGATTCATACCAGCGGTAAAATTTGTGCCAGATTTCAAAATATTCCAGTTCTGTCTTATCTTTCATAGCCATTGTAAGTCTGTCCATCTCTGCACATGATAAAATTTTATACAGCAGCACTTCTCTCCCTTTAACTCAGCAGGCTTATAATGGTGGACCTGGTCATGACAATTGTGTGAGGCTCTTGTCATGTACAATAAAGGACAGTGTATTTGGTTACATTACTTGCTTTCATGTCTGTCTATGCCATCTGCCCCTTTCAAAATGTCTTACAAGTCTATATTATTTATTAAGATTTCTCACTGCCCTGACATTCTTATAAAGAAAGGGTAAATTCTGGTATAAGGTCAGATAAAAGCCACAGTGTAAAGCACATGTGTAATTCATTTTATTTCTTCCATACACAAGGCACAAGCAGCTAGTTATAGGAGTTTTGTACTGCTGTACCATGCATCAGCCCCAGAAGAAAGGGTGTTGCAGCATGTCCTTGCCAAGGTCCATCTACATTCAAGGGATAATGAACAAAGTAGATGTGCATAAATGCTAAGATTCTGATAAATATAGATGGGCTTCCACAGAAACTGATAATCTAGTGTAAAGTGCAGATCTAATCAGGAGGTGTTATGTGATAGGTCTGGATGGGAAGGAACAGACTCAGACTCAACCCTTCCAAGACCGAGTGGCTGTGGCTGCCGGCGCCCCGGCATAGTCAGTTGGTTCCATCGCTGTCTATAGGGGGCGAATTCTTGGCCCCCTCAGAGAGGGCGCGCAATCTGGGAGTCCTCCTGGATCCACGGCTGACACTGGAAGATCATTTGTCGGCCGTGAC